AATCACCGTGTTACAATCTGCCCAGAGACTGTCGATCAGAGTTCAAGCGTCGAATCAATACCTGAAAATGACTGGCTATCGATGTGAAACATTCATGGGGGCCTCTCTGACGGTGTTTACTTTTCTGTGGAGGTATATAATGCTTAATCAGTAAATTTCCAATTTTCACTGATCTCGAACAAGTCTATACTTTAAGATCTGAGGCTCAAACGCCCTTGAGTTAGACAGCTGGTAATTTCTACAGACAGAACCCATCATGTGCTGTCGATCTGGAAAGACAGCATAAGAGAAAAACGGACTAATCAAATCGATGAATGGAGGCATTAACGCTGAGGACATGAACTGTTTTTCAGCTATGATCATGCGCGTTTGTTTCCTATGAAAATATCCTTGTCTTTTATCCTGTTGAGAAAGATAGGGTCTTTGCATAATTCCTTTCTTCAACTCATTTCCTGCCATACACCAACCGGAAAAGTCGTCAGCTACGTTTTATTAATACACTTCGAGTCTCCGGTGTAGCGCGAGGTCACTGTTTATGCTTACAACGGAAAGGGGTCGAGTGATGCTCAGACAGCCCCGCTGTAAACGCTGCAGGTTTATGCGGCCGTTCCGTGCAGACAATACGCGAGCCGGATCAACCGTCGAATATTGCATATGCCTATTGATCTGGAAATCCCACATGTACGCTTGTGTATGCTCAAGTCATCGATACATCAGCTGCCCTAGTTTGTAGGACGCTCAGTGAAAGTAGCTACGTGAGCTATATTTATCCTGCCTTATGACGAGCTAGAAATTGAACCGGAACTGCGTGTCAATGGCCTCACTTCATAAAGTAAACAGATAGTGTTTCATGACTCCACACATAAGGTCTAATGACTTCTGAACTTAGTTTTAGAATAGGAAGCTCGCTGAAAGCAACATCACTTACCCCTTGAAGAAAGTAAAAATAAGGAATGTCGCTCTTTCACATACCTTCATTATGAGGCCGTTTATAACACCCTTCTTTCTATGAAGGTAATCGTCTCCATTTCTACGTCATGTTCCAAGAGTGGCTTCTGTTAAAGACAGAGTGAACATCAGCTATATATGATGAAGCAGGTTGTGTAGTCTTCTGTTTCTTTCCAAATGGGTCGTGCTCACATATTAACCTCGAAAAGAGGAAGGGCGAGCGTTCAGACCGGGATTTGAACCCGGGACCTCTAAGATCTGAGCCAGACACTATGTCAACTGAGCAACCCCTGTCATTTCGGAAGAAAGGATGACACCAAATGGAGTAAAATGAGGTGAATACTCCGTTTAAAATTTTTAGGTTCTCTTCAGTATTCAACTTTACGCTTTTTAAATCAAAGGTGGACAGTGAATTGGACTTCATTCATTGAAGTACGGAACTATATTGCAAGTTGAAGCAAGTGGAATCTATTTTCTTCAGGTGTTACCCTCAATATGAGAGTTATAGTACACTCCAATGCAGTCAATTTTTGAAACTTTGGCGAAGAAGTGAGGATCGTTTCTGAACCACTGTTACCATTGTTGTTTCTTAATTCCGCCGTGACTTCGACCAGATATTCACGACCACTTTTTCAGGTCCATCAACAGAAGAAACTCAATCAAAATGGTGCAGTGTCACAGAAAAATTACGCTTAACGATTTCGCAACAATCCGTTATTGGTTGACAGAAACTTGCTGTTGACCGATGGAGACATTTCCATAGAAATAAAATCAGGAATATTAAATAGCTACAGATTTGCTAGCTTGTACACGTTTCAACATGATTTTCTGCCTTCGACCTTAGCAACCAAATAGGTTACTTTTTTCACTGCAGCAAATCTGCTGCTAAATGAACAGAAGCACCAGAAAGCCGATCGTATAGCTTGTACCGCTGCAGCATTTAGCCGGTAGCATGATTGGGGTATGACTTTAAGACCCCCTGAAACAAAACAGAACATGAACTTGAAAACAACTTTGATCATGAGTGGCAAATCTGGATCAATGACGGACTCGATCCGGAAATTCATATGAAAGTCTGTTACTAGTGTTGCGTGTTGTTTGCAACATCATGCTCTGTTTTTGCGCTGAAAGGCCGTTTTTTGCTAGTCTTATTCGCTGGGATCAGATGATGCTAACAAAGAGGTAGTAGGAAAAGCTATACATCGGTTTTGCTAAGTCTTCTTAACTATCGATTAGCAAATTCCCTTTAACTCCACCAAGCGGCTCAGAATCGAAGTCGTACAAGAGCATTCCAGAAAATTCACTATCGATGAAATCAAACGAGAATTTTTACTGAGTTGTCATAGGCGCCTAAACAAAAAGAACTTTCAAAGCTGGAATACTGTATTCTGAAGCCAACTATCAGAGGGTCACGATTTTGTCATCGTATTCAACCTATGTGATCGATGTCTGCTTGACTATCGAATGTTGATTTGATCCGAACCTCATTTTGCCGATAAGTACTGAATTGGAAACGTAAAAGATAAGGAAGAAAAACTGGCAACTGTTGGAATGTCGGTCTTCCTTGAACCTTCATGAAGGTAATGCTGCAGGGGCTGATTTCTATTTCCATACTATCAGCCTTACTTTAAAAGCAGAGTAGACAGCAGCTATGTGACAAGCACGGTGTGTAATTTCTTGTTTATTTTCCTAGTGAGTGATCCTCATTAATCAACCTCAGAAGGAGGAAAGGCCAGTGGCCCCACTATGACTCTCCACCGACTGAGCAACCCTGGTCTGAATTGAATTCTTAAACAACGGCCGATACCGGAGAGAGGAGAAAACACGGATATGCCTTCTAATCCTGTAATTCGCAGCACCAAACCTAAGAAATGAAAACCGTAAATTTATATGCCTATGCTACAATGTAGCTGCTAATAACATGAAACATTTTCTAAAGCAATTATATTTCTACAGAGATAACGCTGAGCTAATCTTATCAACAACTTGTTTCGATCTACTGCTCGGTAAAGGCGTCTCCAAGACTTTACCAGAAACTTCTGCTTCCTGCCCTTCTTATCCATATTAATCCAGCACCTTGTTCAGCTCACCTTCCTATCGATCTAGAGGTCTTCGGCCTTTCTGCTGACCATTCACCAATCTTGGAACCCAATCTAATGTTTCTCTGGTGTAACGATGGTCGGTTCTTCTTAAAACGTATCTGTTACCACGTTGTAAGGTAATTGGCCATTATAGGGTTATAAGGTACCAGTTATGTTTATATAAAAACATCAAAATTAGACTCCGCACTCGTCGCCGGAGAGGTGCTGAAAAGTTAAGCGAAAAGCTTTTTTCGAAGCGCACAATCTGTGGTACGACAGGGCCATTTAATTCAAGTGCTCGATCGGTAACGAAGTTGCTGAAAAAGTGGGTTTGGTGCTAAACAACGAAACGAAATTTTTCTTGAATAGTGCCTGGGGGGTTCGAACAGCAATTTGTACTTTACATCTTCTTATACACGGCAGCTGTTCAGGTGACAGGCCGCGTTTGTCGAAAAATGCCTGAGTTGTCGACCGACCGGAATTACGGGCAAGGTGTGAAAAGCGGGACATCGGTTGTTTTCGTCGC